ATTATTTCTAGAAGTTGCCATTGCTTCTATTCAATATGTATGTCATTAATTTAAAGAAAGAAGATGGAGTTAAATTTTTAACTCAAGAAATGTTTGTCAAAAGTTTGTCTATTAATTAAGTAGATATATTAATATGAACGTTTATTTATTTTGAAAATAAGCAACTCAATCACAGAAATTAATTGCTTTACATTTGACATATACTAAGAAAAAAAATTATTAACTTAACTAAATGCATTTAGTTCGTAATGATTATTTAGTTCAAATATTTATATATTTAGATTAACAAAATCTTATAATTTAAAATATGTTATTTGTTTGAATTAACAAATATTTGGTTGAATCAATAAATATTTCCTTGATAACTCATGACCGGCTACATTTAGTTGAGTCAACTGATGTTTTTTTGAAATAGCAGTTTTTTTTCTCAGTACACATGAAATTAAAAATAACAAAAATATTTTACTCGAGGGATTCAAATTAAGCCCTATAAATATAATGCGAGGCAACAGCGAGAGAACAGTGATAGGAATAGTATAGAAATAAGCAATATGTAATTAATAGAAATCTTATTTTAGACTGTAAATGTGAGAAACGTAATCGATATCAATTGTGTGAAGTCTATACCGGTCAAAAAAAGATCTTCGATGTTTAAATAATTCATTGTGAATTATATAACAGGATCAAATAGGCAGAATCAAATCGGATCTATCGGAATTTTTAGTACTTATTTTGTACTAAATTGTACCATTGATAATTTTGTATCGTGTGCCATTTCGAAAAAAATCGTGGCGGTTAATATTAAGCTGGTAGAACCAATTCAAAATAAAAGAAAAAAAATGAAAATAATATAAATAAACCAATAGGATTGAATTTGTACTATTTTGTATTATCAAAAACAATTCTACATTATATCTTATTTCCAAGAAAACGGCGCTACTAATTTAATATTTAAGCAGATTCATAAAAAAACAACACAAGGGCAAAAATTAACGCAACTGCATTTGTACTAATTCGAAAGTAAATTAATATTTTACATGTTTTCTCCTTAACATGACTTTATTATATGGAATATATCGGGCAATGAGCACAGCGCGGAAATTGGTGCGCAATAAAATATTATTAAATATTAAATTATTTAATTAATATTTAATTAATTATAATTATTAAAAAATATTTACATAATATAAAGGTATACAATGATTGTCGGTACAACTATCTTGGACGTTTCAGTTTTCTTCAAACCATCTTCAGTAAATTCGTAGATAATTTTCGTAGATAAATGTCTTGACAAAGTATTGCGACAATTTGAAATTAAATTCTATGTGAGTCTGAAGATGAGCATATTTCTACTGTCTGGAAGTTACGGAAATTTATCACTTCGTTGTTTAGTCAAGTGACTAATCTCTGATTTCATAGATCACAATCATTTATTCCAAACATAGCAAGTCAAATTATAGAAAGGAATGATTACAAGAAATAAAAAAGAAAAACTTTGTTTTTATTAAGTATAAGTATAAAATTTGTAATATGTTATAATGTGTTATAGCATTTGTCGCTATCGCTGTTGCCTCGTATTTGTAATGTGTATTTAGGACTTTACTATTGTTCGTTTGATATCTGACAGTATATATCTTAAGACATTACTTAAGACAGTCTTAAAATAAGAACTGATTATTAATATACCGATCTATGAATACCAATCACAGAGCTGCATCATAAAACATTAACTTAAGACGATTTTAAAATAAGAATGAACTGTGAATACCAGCCTATATTTTTCTAAAAATGAGCAGTTTTATCATTTAATATCACAATAGCATTTCAGCTTTTATCTCGATCCTTAAGAAAGAAGTCTCATCCAAACTGGCTGAAACCTGATGGTGTCATCGTTTCTCCTTGATCTTTCTGCGCTGTGGATGGCATAACGATCGCGCGCCGTAGAACTGCGAACGATTCCGACACGTGATGTCAGCTCTCGTTCGTATCTCTACGGCCGAGCATGAGAGATATTGCGAACAAAGCTACGCTGTTTCCTATCTATCGGTTAAGCTGCGTAACGGATACGCTGACTTTTACATCGGTTCGCGCTGACTCCCCAACATTTGCGCACATCATCTGATAACCCTTACGCGACTATTTTATTTCTCTCTATTTGTTTCTTTCTCGTCTTTCGGTGATTGTTTTATCGGTCCATATGACGTTGCATAGGAATTAAGAAATCCGAAATAATTGCTATATCAGAGAATGACTTGTTTTCTTTTTCTTTTCCAAGATCAAGCGCGCGCGCCTGATCGAACGTCAACATTACGCGAACCTTAACATAGACGCACGTGCTTATCTCGGCGAGATTTGCAGCGTGTGCAACAGCCATCGCATTGGCAGCGAAATTTGAAAATTCATAAGTGTTTATTCGTAGATTATCCAAATACAAGCCGGAGATGTTTAAAACGATCATTTGTTACAATAACGGTATAAAAAAGAATTTTCAGTTGAATGTTTTGAATCATTTTAAATCATTAAAATTTTGTATCTCTTTTTAATGCGATTTTGATGTAACGATTTGATCTACTAATTATAGAAGAATAAAAGAAAAAAATTGTAGAGGAATTTAAATTTTTCACTCAAGATATTAAATTCTTATCAAAATTTTTTTTTGTAGATAACTTAAGAATTACAAGTTCAGAGTTATGTAGCGAATGATATATATCTCTGTCACGCGCGAACATTTAAAAAAATAACTAAGAATTGAACTTGAAGAAAATTATCCTTGTATATTTGCTCCTTTTTTAAACTGAGATCATTACTGTGTTGCTTTTCTTATAGATTTAAATCTCATTGCGCGGAAGAGATATTCAAGTACGTTTTATATTAATTTTTTGTATTAAATTTGTATTAAATAATCCATGTGGAGTTTTGATTTGAAATATCTCATAAGCGATTTTAACCTTTGACCTTTTGACTTAATTATAAATTACGAGATACCCCCCGTAGGCGTCACTGCATAAAATGTTTCATACGTCATTCCGCGATTTTTTGTAATAGATAATTTCTCAAGGATCACAGAGATCATGAAACATTATTTCAATAAGAAATATCGTGTAGTCGATCAGAAGATAATACACGTGCAACGATATTTTTTCTCTTCTCTTATCACTCTTTTTTTCTTCACGTAGATTTTGTCTCTTGAATTGGGCTTGAAGCTAATAATGCCACAGAAACAAAAGAACGTGCGTAAAGTTTTAAAATAAACATTTATATTTATTTATATTTATTATTGATGTATCATAAATATTGCGATAATTTTGAAAAACAGCATATTTTTAAGTATTTTTCAACATCGTTTCATTTTATACGTAACATCAACATTTGATATTACATTTTAAAACTTTTGTGATATTAACATTTTAAAACTTCGCTTTCGTATTTCACTTATATCGTGAATATTCAAAGAAAGCTACGACTCGTGTTGTATTTTTACATTGATTGTAAAACTTAAGATTTTTTGATAATTATAGTGAATAGTTCGAAACACTTTTAACGATATCTTATAACGATATTTTTTTAACGATATCTTATAAAAAAATCTCTGTTGTTTAAAAAGATCAATAAATTAATAGAAAGCGAATATCTCATTAGTAATAGAAACGTTGTTGTTCATTGAGTATGAATCATAAACTGCAGCATAGTGGTTAATTAAGAATTTCAATAAAATATCTAACAAGAATAAAACTAATTAAAATAAAGAGATAAGAGAGATACGATCTTTTTATTAATTATATTCATTTGTTAGATTAATTCTAACAATCATTAACAGTCAGATACTAACAATAAGATTTGATAAAATTACACATATACAATTCTTAATTAAACTTTTAATATTGGGTTGTCCGGAAAGTTCGTGCCGATGTTGAAGGAAAATTGAAACGCAGAAAATTTAAATTTTATACATTTATTAAATTATATAAGTTAGTCGACACAACTTTCCGGACAACCCAATATAATTCTCTTAAAACCTTTTTATCCGATATTTTATTGAAGACAATGCCAATTGATATTTTAGTGATAAATTTGGCGATATCTTATCGTTAATTATCCCTTATTGCATGATTCATCTTCTTTTTCACCGCAAGAAACATTACGAACATATTTTGATTAGATATTATGGTAAATGTATATGGATTTTAACTAACTTACTATTTAACTTACTTAATTAAACATTTTTTTATAAAAGTACATATAATGTTCATAA